CACAGGCTTTAAACATAGCTGTCTCTTTAAGAAACTAGATTCTCAGGGGTTAAGAGCTCTGGCTGCTCTTCCAGAGGTCCTGGGTTCAATTCCTGGCACTCACATGGCCGCTCACAACTGTCTATAACTGTAGTACTATGGGATCCAATGCACTCTTCTGGTATGCAGACACATAGACGCAGACAAATCATCCATACACATAAAATAAGTAAATAAATAAATCTTAAAAAAAAGAAAGAAAAGAAACTAGATTCAGAAGTGCTAGATATTTGACAGAGCATTAGCTGGAAGACAAATAGATTTACAAGAATTTAGAAAGGTAGAGAAAATGCTCACCAAATGGCCAGAATCAGAACAATGACAAATGGCCAAAATGGGGGTAAATTCCAAGAATCTGGAAGGGGAATGGACAGAGGATGAATGAATGGGACAGCACTCACATTTAGTTTTGTAAAGAACAATCATAAAATTACCTAGTTCTCACTCTATGCAGAAAATGAAGAAAATCTACATGTCATCCTTGGCAAGATCAACTCCAGACTTCACTGAAAGGTTTAGGAAGTCAGAGAAGTCACAATTCTGGAAAGTGGCTTTGGAAGGCGCGTGGCTGGAAAGGTTGAAGCAAACGAGCAGGAAAGCTGAGGTGAACATGATCCGAGGCTCTTGGGGCACTGAAAAACCCCTGTAATCCCAGTGCTCTGGAGGTGGAGGCAGGAGGACAGAATTCAGAGTCATCCTCAGCTAATTATTGAGTAATCAGCCAATCAACCAAACAATACTTCATGTCAAACATAAGCCATGATTACTGATGGAAATCCCAGACAGTAAATGCCACATTACCCCAATGTATAGCTAAGATCAATAATGCTAAGCTCCTAGGCTTATTCTTTTTAAGAAATCAGATATAAATGGGCTAACATGGACTAAAAAGTAATTTATTATTGGAACACTAACACTTTTTTTTTAAAGTACAACAGATGGGGAGATAGTCTTTTAATTTTTCTAGAGGACTGCAAGAATCAGTATCATGGACTGTTAACAGCTGGGCAGGGCAGCGCACACCAGCGACCAGGGTCATTTTAGTCTGAAGCCATTCTGCTCTTCATAGTGAGTTCTAGGTCAGACATGAATACACAGAAAAGCCCTGTCTCACAAGAAAAACAAAGCCCCAGCAATTTATTTTCAGCACAGTTAAAAATTTGTAAGATGTTGGTTCAATAGTGTGTTCTAAGTGTGTTTTAAGTGCCCATTTCTGTCTAGCATGCTACAGGGAGACATGGCGGCAGCAGACAGAATTCTTTGTTCTCTAGGATGGTAGTGAGACAGTTCCATGTTTTTTTTCCATCAAGTCCTACTAAAGTGGAAAAAATAGAGAATTCTAGAAATGCTTGACTTACATTTTTAATAAAGTGAAATGTCATTTGCTGGCTTTTAATGTAAACAAGAATGTCAAAATTCAACCATAAAACACCAAAAACCAGGGCTGGAGAGATGCTACGTCAGCTAAGACCTCTTAAGTGCTCTTGCTGAGGACCTCCAGCATCCATACCAGGCAGCTCCCAAGTACCTGTAACTTCAGCTCCAGGGTACCCGACACCTCTAACCTCTGCAGGTACCCCCCCCCCCCCACATACACATAATGAAAAATAAAGCTTAAAAGCACCAACAGTTTAAAGGATTTCTCAGACTTCTGTAGTCAGTTAAAGCAGAGGAGACGACGGGGTGGGGGTGGGGGGTTGGGTGCAGATAGAGGACATGACATAAGATGGAAAACAAAGGAGGAAGCCACGGAAAGGCAATCACGGGCGCACAGACATGTCTACAGACCAAGAGCCTAAGAGGGAGAAAGGAACAAACCGGTCCTTTCCTGGCCCTGTGTATCCTTGCTGGGAGTGTACCATTTGAGTGACGAAACTCAGCTTTGGGCCACACGAAGCTTCTCCAGCCTTACTGGGACCCTTTCGGATCTACCTCGGGGCGTATAGAGCGGGTTTAGAGTGAATTGAGCCAATAAAAAGCCCTTCTGGGGCAGGGTGGATGGACAAGGTCGGGACAGGATTGGGAAGAAAGGGGCGGATCCCTGTGGGATTTGATAGCAGGGAGGGTCGGGTGAACACCTGGAGTCCCTTTCTTCTTTCCTTGTTGATTCTCGCTCAAGGTCAGAAGAAGGGGTCTGTGTATAAATCTGAACTACCCCTGTTCACATTTTGATTACAATGGGAATCCTTTTAAGATTCTATCTGGGGTCTGAGGAGAAGGCTCGGCAGGTGAGGTCTTTTTGCACAAGTATGAGGAACTGATTCCAGATCCCTAGCATCCACGTAACAACTGGGTGCTGTGGGCTCTGGTATCCCCAGTGCTGGGGAGATGGAGCTGGGAGGACAGGGGGCTGCAGACCAGCTACTGTAGCAAAAGGCAAGCTCCAGGCTTAGTGAGAGAATACCTCTCAAAAAATAGGAGAATGAGAAAGGATGATGCCTGATACTGACCTCTGGCCTCTACATGTGCACACACTAGTGTGCACACCAGCACAATACCCACACACACAGGCACATATCACACACACACACATACACAGGCACATATCACACACACACACACACACACACACACACACAGGCACATATCACACACACACACACACACACAGGCACATATCACACACACACAGGCACATATCACACACACACACACACACACACACACACACACACACACACACACACACAATCCAGTCTGTCCTTTGTGTCAGTATTCACTGCTACCCAGCAGAAACCATATTTGCACTATTTTATTTAAGAATGGTGGTCACAGCTTTATAACCACCTTGGATGTGAGTGATTTCCAAACATTATTTTGGGTTTCAAGTCTGACTATAAGATATTTTAAAAGCTTTCAGATGTAGGGGAAATAGAAATACAGAGTAAAGCTATCTTGATTATACTTCAAGAATCGGCTTTAATGAATCATATTCAAGATGAAGCCAATAATTTAAAGTTACCATACAACCTACGAAAAATGAAAATGAAAACTAAAACAAACAAAACAAAATCCTCTTATCCCTTAATGCTGGACTGGCCATTTGCCTCTAAAAAACAAGACTAGTTCAGAGCAGCATGGGAATTCCACTACCATGCTTTAAATGTGGTTTTCTTTTTTTAATTGTTATTTAGTGTGTATCAAATTTGTCATAAAGTCATCATTGGCACACTCAGATTCCCTAAGGGCTGGACTTTTTGAAGTGGATATTATATAGCATATAGCTCTGAAAACTCTAAATGAACAGGCATACAAAGGGAAAAAGCAGTTACCAGGAACCGCAGAAGTACGTTGCTGCCCCATCTTTCATTTTCACCCGGATTCACTGGGTACAGGTCGGATTGTTGTTCAGAAATAGGGGAAAGGCTGTGGGTGGTGGGATGGGTGGCTGGGCGGGAATGGGGACACACTGTTATCTATTAGTGGTTCAATTCTTTCAGATGACAAAGACAACAAGCAAATCTTTAGATGGTTTATTTGATCTGTGTGAAAGCGGGCGGTGGGCTTTCTGGCACTTGGACAAGTAGGAACAATATTTTTGGCTGGAGAGATTTCTCCCGAGTTCTCTCAGGGAGCCTTCGAGAGAGCCATCTGGATCGAACAGTATTTCTTTTGTAAAGCCCGCATTTAGAAGCATAAAGGGAAGGTGTGGAGCTCGATACCTATGAAAATCACTTGCTTTCCGTAGCTGGACGGGATGATTTAGTACAGCTGGCAGTTTTGAGATAAAAGGAACCAACGTCTCCTTTCTGCTTTAATAAGAGATTTCTTGTAATTGATATCCCCACATAGGAAGTGTTTATGAATGCCCGCTCATTAGTCTGCACCACTGCTCCTTCATGAGTGAAACAGGAATGTTCCAGTTATGTGTGATATTTACAGTCCTTATGTCACTACTGACCTTGCCTTTGACCTTTATAATTGTTAATGGGACCCAGATCTTGAATGAAAGTTCCCCTCCCTCGGTACTTAGTCAGCTTGTGATGCTGTAATGAATGAAAACCGCTAAAGATGTTCAAACAAAATCCTTCCAAACTGACATGATGCACTCAGGGCAATGATGGGATTAAAGAGGGATTGCCTGGAAAACTGAATCAAACTCAGGTTTGCGCCAGATTCTGCAAGACTGTGTCTATTTTAACAAAGGACCTCAAAAACTCATCATAAATACTATGCATATATTTGCTGGTCCTTCACACTTCTCCACACTAGAGAGAAGTGGTGACTCCTGCGTTAAGCTTCCCTTTGACTGTACTTGCTCCAGCAGTACACACACTACAACTGCGAAGACATAGAGATTAGCATTGCCCTCGCACAAGGATGACGTGCATTCCATATTTTTACAAGTTGAAAAAAAAAGAATTCCTTTGATTAGTGATCATATAAAAAGCAATGAGCTGTTTCCTCTGGCTGCCATTTTTGTCTAATAAGCAATGAATCAGAAGAAAGATTTAGCAGCAACATCATAATACAGATGTGAGAAATATGCAGGGTCAAATATGCTTTTATATATTGTATTAATGTATATGTCATAAGTACTTAATTCTGTGTAATTAACAGTTTCTGTTAATCCCAACAATAACTATTGACTTGAGAAGTTTCCACTGTAATTATCCAGTTTTCATATTACGTAAAATTCTTAGTGGATTAAAAAAAATAAACAAGAAAGCCATGTTTATTTATTAAGCCAACACTAAATCCAGTTTCGAATGGAGAATTTCCAGATATTCTAAAAATCATCACTATGAAAAAGTGATTGATTTTATATATATGATAAAAATGATTGATTTTATGTATATATATATAATATGATAAGTGAATAATTTTAAAGAAAATTTTTTATACATTTGAAGCAAACCTTGTGAAAATGATTTATCTCAACTTAAATATTTTATGGACTAATTTGAAGCTAGAAGAACTAATGACATGCACGTTGTCTCTCAGAATACATTTTTCTGGAAGGAAGGAAGGAAGGAAGGAAGGAAGGAAGGAAGGAAGGAAGGAAGAAGGAAGGAGGAATCTGTGTGGTTAATAATGTGCGTAAACACTCTGCAACTGATGTCAGTTGAATTACAAATATTTTACTTCCTGGGAATTAAAACAGGAATAGAGCTCATGCTGAATAAGCTTTTTCTAACAGATTTTAATAGAGAAACCAAACTAAGGTTCCAAATTTCAGCCTATTGCTTCCGCTCGTATTAACAGGAGGGCTCTGTCAGGTAAAACTGCTTCACTAACAGACTAGGTGGGCTAAGCATCATTATCTTTCTAAGGTAAATTGTTTTCCCCATGTTCTCATACTAAGTGCATTAGACTTAATTTCCATGGAACTTCTAACAGAAAAGAACCCTGAGTGGTCAAAGTCTGAGCCCCAACAACTCACCTGACCAGGACATAGCCTTCCCGTGATCGTTGCCATTTAGAGACAGGAAGACAAAGTAGGGCTTTCACTATTATTGTTTATCACATTAGAAAACATAAATGGCCCTGTATTAACTGCCAACTTCAGCCACGCTTTGGTCTCCAAGCAGAAAGGACATAATTGAAGATGGGGGTAAGAGAAAAGGCAAGGCTACATCACATTGCCTTCTTGGACCGTTTCTACTTAAAGGAATTAATTAAATGAAATTTTCATCAGAGGAGAGGGACGAGGCCTCAGGGAAATTCATGAACACCTCACCAGGATGCAAGCCATTTCCCATCCTTGGGAGTCATCTGTGCTTTGGACAAAATATCCGGGGGTTCATATTTTTCATAAATGGCACACATTTGAACTAAAACAGATTAGATGTTTGTTGGAGGTGATACTTCCTACAACTGAGCACTTATTTATATAAGATCTCTGCCAAAAGAACCCACGCTATTTAAACCGCAAGAACCCGTCAAGATCCAGAGGCACCTACCTGCAGTCCCCGTGTTTGAGGCCAGCCAGTTTACAGGCACAGTGAAAAAATCAGCTAACTGGATAAAATAACCATATGTCCCTACTGGAGGCTCCATTACTGGAGTCATTTAAACCTCGCTGGACAAAAAGCACCAGGGCCATTTGCTGTAGGAAACAAACCTCCACAAAGTGGACAGGGAAGAAATGACCTAATAGGTAATGCCCTCTGCTCCAATTTCTATGGTTCTGTGTTAAGAAAAGCTGGCCTGACACACTGTTGTGAAAGCTTATGCCCCAATTACACCCCAACAAGAGGGCCACTTCTTATTTAGAGAATGAAAAGAAAAAAGCCCAGAACTTAACATTTACATCGCTATTATCAAAGTCTTGGGCAATTTTCCCTAAGGAATAACATTTTCAAGATATAATGGAAAGGAGGGATTGTAGTCTCCATTCGGAAACTTAAATGGCAGGATAGGAGTGTTTCTGGCCTGACTTTTGTTTGGGAGCTGGTGAAATGGAGGATAACCTTTCCTATCTTCTTATAAGGCCAGGTATCTGCCTTCAGCAGGGTTCAGGTAAAACAGTGTGCCTGGTTCATCAAGGCAGAACCAGTCCACACTGGACCTGTCTGCCATCTTAAGGGAGCACATCCTGCCTCCGTTTCCTATTAAAATAAGTGCTTGTTGCTTGCACATTGTCAGCTGGCATAAGGTAGCTGTGTGTGTGTGTGTGTGTGTGTGTGTGTGTGTGTGTGTGTGTGTGAACATGCAGGTGTGTGGGAGGGAGATAGATGGAGTCATTTGTGTGTGTCAATGAAAGAGTGTACAGCTTTTCTTTCTATGTAAATATGTTTATTTACAGGCAAGCTTCATTTTGGGTTGAAACATATAAACAGAAATAAAATACAATGCCAACTTAAAATTATTTTTCGTGAAGTGCACAATATTTTTGATGGCCACCATTGACATGAAATGAAAAAACAATGCTATTTATCGTAAAATTGGTTTCATGTCCAAATGTAAGGTCCTGTGTTCCCCTGCAGATCTTCTGGCTTTGTGTATTAAGTGTGAATCTGTACAAACGTCAGTCTGTGTGCATGTGTGCTGGGGGAGGTGGGTTATATGCCTGATCATGGTGGAAGGCAGACTTCTACGGGAACGACCTGCTTAGTATTGTTACCCACTTGTACAAGTCTTGAGATTTTCAGGTGTCCTTTGTACCAGGGAACATGAGAAGGACATTTCTCACGTGACTGTCACAGGTCCACCATTGAAAACCAGCTCTTCTCCGCTGTCTTTTTAGTGATTTGTTCATTTTCACAAGCATGAGTATTAACACTGAGGACTTTAATAAGCTTTTGGCGGTCTTTCTTTCCTAAGTAACTCTGCATAGAAGGCGTGACAACTCCATCCCTTCGGGAAGGCGTGGGTTGAGGTGAGAGGTTATCTCTGGGTTGGATTTATAAATGCGACTTTCCCCCACCCTTCTGAAAAAGAGGCAAACGGTATTACTGCAAATAACCTTTAAGATAATTAACCGACAATGCCGCAAGTAGCGTAAAATCTTCCTTCAGGCGACACCTAATTTAAGTGTTACTGGCACAAAGTGGAGACAGATTGTGCATTACCACCGCAATATTTACATAGCGGAAACCCACAGAGCGGGAAACGCCAGGCTCAATGAAGCACTAAATTAGAACAACCGTACTCAGTGTTAATTTGCCCTCCACTCTTTCCAAATCTCAGGTCCAGAAATCGGTACAAATCCATCTACAACCTCCCACTCCTAAATGACTAAACCGGAGATGTTAGTACCTTTTTTTTTCTAACCTCCCCTCCCCAATTAAAATAACTTGAAATTTATTTCTTTTCTCTACAAGAACCATGTGGTAAACTGTGTTTATTTCGTTATGATGCACGCTCACTATGATCTGAAATTATTTTCATACAAGTCTTCATTTGAAGACTACACAGGAGGAACTAGCAAGACTTACTTTTTCCAAGGCTGCCAACACAGCTGACAGAAAAGGTACAATGAGCTATTTAGGGAAAGGGATGGGTATCTACCTTCAGGGATTTTCTCTGTAATAAATCTTATTTCCAATTCACATTTCCCCTTTCTTCTGCCAAATGCAATGAGTTTTCCTTAAGCATTCAAAGGCTATTACTTTTTCTCATCCTTGCCCATAGTATTTTAAACCCCAGCATCACTGAGGCATTGACAAAACATTTACCTTTCCCAGCTGCTGGTGCTCATTGAAGGCGGTGATCAGTTCTTCAGCCCACTGAATTTTTTCCAGGGTCGGAGTAAACTGCTCCTGTACCACAGCGATCTGGTTAGGGTGGATCACCTGTTTACCTGCAAGGAGAGTAATGCACTGGAGGCTCCTGGACAACACCACACACAAACCAAGTGCGTCCAGCTGGGAACATCCCTGGGTGACTCACAGAGTGGGTGCTAAAGAACTAAACAGCACAAATAAAACCCCAAATCAGACAGGCTTTTCCAGAAAATCACCTAAGAACAAATACAAGTATGGGAATAACCATAGTCTAGATTCCTAGAAGTACCACTTCAGAGTAGAAAATCTCTCATTTTCAGTTACAGGTGGCTGGACAAGGCAGCTTATTGAATAACTACTTTGCCTGGGATTTTAACTGGAGAATATCTGTAAATTATCCATTATTGTGAGTTAAAGGTAGAATGAAATTAAATGAGAATTCTCTCAAATTGTGTAAGCTGTCTTCTGCTTGCTTGGGAGGATTGTGTTGCTTCCTATAGTTCTTATACCAATGACATGTCAATTGTTAAGCCCACTACAGATGTTATGACCATATTAATACCAAACAGTATCTTATGATGATATATTTAATTTAGTTTATTTTATTTTGAGCATGTCATTTTTAACATGCATATTTCAATGAAAATATGTCTAGAGTTATAAAATAAAAGGCAGATTTGAATACTGTGGCATCTAAACTATTTTATTTAAAAATTATTAAATAAAATTTATATTATAGAAAATTTATCTATCCAAAAATATATTCAGATCTTCCCTTTTTTCTTATAGTATGAGAGTTGGTTTGTGTTCAAACTACAAGAAATCGTAATTATGCAGAAATACTTTAAAAAAAAATCTTTGATTCTTTTTGAAGTTTAAGGATTTTAAGTAAAAGCATCATCTATACACAGACCTTAAAGGATTCTATACAATTATAACACTGTTAAAAAAAAAAAAATTTAACAATTGAGGAAGTATGGTATTTAATTGGGTCATTAATAAAATGCAATATAATTTAATGTCACAATGATGAGATTATATTACATTACATGATAAAGTTATGAACATAAATTGCCTCTTTAAAACTGATATACACTTAATGGCTGCTAACTATATTTGTTGCTACATTAATTTGCTTTGCTTTTGAAACAGTTGTTTCAATATTTAACCACTACAAATTACAGCCCAGATGTTTTATAAAATACCAGTTTCTGTTACTATTCTTATTCTGTTGAACAGATAAAGGAACAACGTTTGTAAAAATAGTAAAATAGGGATTTTTTTTTTTGGTTTCAAGAAAAGTTTAGGTGAATAGATACTTTTTAGACCCTGGCATAGTTAAGACATTCTGTATTATCATTCCATTCCTGCCTGTCAGTGTAACAGGAAAATGTCAGAAATCTACATAAAGAAAGACACTTTAAACTATTTGAAGACTAATTTTTGGAGACAAATAGTAAGAGCTACAAATGTGAACTCTTTTCAAATAGTAGGTATTAATTCCACATTTAATTAATTTAATAGTTGTAATAATATTATTTAAAAAGCTTGTCAGTACCCAATAGTCATTTCCTAATTGTTAGCCCTGGATTTTATAATTTATGTACATAATTTACACCACTGTGCAAAAAGGCAGATTTCACGGAAACTTTTGGTACAGGCACTGTAATGTGCAGAGGAGACATAACTAGCTAGCTGGATTCTTGTGAAATCCCCAACAGCTCTGAAGTACCCACGTTTTAGGAAGAGGCCACTATTAAGATGTATGTTGGGTTTTTAAAATCTATGCATACTCTCATGCCAAGGGCTCTTTTGTCACTATATACATTCCAATGACTGTGTAACAGGCTTTACTGCCGTGTGGGAACGAAGAAAATATTTTATCCAGAAGGCTCGTTATTGACAAGTTACCGAGAGGGTGCAAAATTGGACAGCATTAAAATTTATGACCGTGAGATCCTTTTTACAGGACACTTGATACATCTTGCTTTAAATCAATACCTGCCAAGCCTTTTCGGTAACTGTGTGATGGTGTCATTTCTGTCTTCTACAAAAGACTGCAAAAAAAAAAAAAAAAAAAAAAAAAAAAAGGAAAAGAAAAAAAAGGAAACCTATATTGCTTTTCATATTTATAATCTTGCCTCGCAGCGTGTAGTACCGTAGTAACTGTAATGGCTGAAGGAGTGGGAAAAGCTTTCTCCTGAGTTTTAGTTTGGGTGTCTTTCTATTATTTAAAAAAAAAAATCCTAAAGTTAATGACTATGTACACAGTCAAAGGATTGATTTTAGATCAGTCAGTGTGAGTGGGGACCCCATGCAGTAATGATGGCAAAAAAAAAAACCCAAAATAAAAATAAATAAATAAATAAATAAACCCTAAAAACTATAGCCCACTGTTTTGTGTGGTGATAACTCTTTTTGGAGGGAGGAAATGGGAGAAATAATATAATTTTATTATATTCTCATAAAATAAAACTAAATATGTGTAATACACATTTAAATTTTTGTTTTGAAGCACAGACAACCCAGTCTCTATCAGTGTTACAAGTAACACTCACTTTCACTGATTTTCAAGCCCTTTGACAACCTGCTTCAGCCAAGTATTGCACTGTTGGTAACAATGTTTGGTCTTCCCCCCTCCCTCCCTTTCATCTTCTGACTCCTCTTTCCCTTTCTTATAACAAGGTTTAAGGTATCACAATTGAATTCCAAAAAACTAGTACCCTAAGATAATGAATAGCATAAAATATTCAGGGAGAGTATGAGTTAAAAAGATGCTATACATAGTCTCTTTTGACCACCTTTTATTAGTATGAAGAAATAAAACTGTGGCAACAAAGACCTTCTCTCAAAATCAGTAAGTATGTATGGCGTGTGGCCCCCAGCCCACAGCTTCTGTCACTTGGATGTACAATGGGCACTGTGCCCTCGGTACCTCCCTGCACCCCGGCCTCCATCTTCCTGTGACTCATTGCTCCCCGTTGGGCAGAAACAATAGTGCCAGGTCCATAAGTTCTGCGTGCTGAGTCGGGCACAGTCTAGACATTTAAACCGGATTTGAAATAGCTTGTCCTTTGAGATTGAATTGGGGACCAATTTAATTCAGTTCTGTATCTTGAGAAACCTTTGAGCCCCAGAGGAAACTGGAAAAACATCAACCCAAGAACATGAAGGGCTGGTGGCTGAGGCCAGGGTGCTCTTTCCTATTGAATTAGTTCCCACTTCAGAGCAACATCTGGCTGCCTGGCAGCCAACGCCACATGTTATAGGCCAACAACATCAGGGTCTATTAGATAGATTTCATGGAGTTTTTTCCAGCTTTCCCATTTGGGCCACATCCTAACTGGCCACTGGAAGAAGGAAAGCCAGGCATGCCCCATGCACCGATCAGCAGGAGATCCCTTTCTCTCTCAGTACCTGTTAAATATCAGGAGAAACTAGTAATAGTTAAATCATTGAACAACATTTCTATGCATGGGATCATATGTTTTTAAGCTTAAAAACGTAGGCATTCGGGTTTATTTTAGTGCTCTGCTATATACAGGGTCATTTCATTCTAAGATTACTGTACTGTTGCTTCAGCCTTTCCATTTGTTTCAGGATAAGTCATCCTCTGCTAACATACCTTTTTCATTTCAAGGTACTTTATGAGACTTTCAGTTAAATTATGACGAGGTATAGTATCAAAATATTTTTAAAAAGGGATAACATCCTTCTCTCCTTCCCTCCCTCCTTTCCTCCTTCTCTCTCTCTCTCTCTCTCTCTCTCTCTCTCTCTCTCTCTCTCTCTCTCTCTCTCTCTGTACAATCATGTACCCATTCTATGCAACTGCACAGGATTATTTATGTGTAAGTGTCTATTAAGGTTTTCAAAAGACAGAGTTCTGTTGCAAAACATGGTTTTCAGTTGTTCTCTGGACTCATGGGGACAGGAGTGATAAGCACATTGATGGCTGTCAGCTGCCTGCCTGTACCCCATACAGGCCTGTGAGGGACTCATGGCCCCAGTGCCAGCCAGTACCCATAGGTGTCGGTAAGTACACAGACATTTATTGGAGACACAGAAGGGAAGAGGGGCTTTAAGTGGCCAAATAATTAAAAAAAATAATTATGAGTAAAAATTAAATCGACTGTATCAGCAATTAAAACAATTAATTAATACTTTAACATTTTAGGAACATTTTCTTATATTTCATCAATCTAAATTATGACAGTTATTCACTCTGACATCTTCCCATTATCCCTTATCCCTTGCCTGGGGTCAGCTCAAAATATACTGAAATTCTTAATAAGACAGAAAAAAAAGTAACAAATGTAAAGAAAAATTCAAAAAAGTGTTATGTTTTGTAATTTGCAGAGACAGAAAAAAGAAGAGAGAGAAAACCACCCACCAACCCAGGTAATAATCATGTGCCTTCTGCTCTATGCAACTGTCTCATGTTACAGGTCATGGGGTGAGTAGACATCTTTTTTTCTGGGATGCCTGCTAATGCACAACACTTTTTAAGACAGCACCAGGAATCATACCAGTGAAGCCCATGGCGGCGGCTTCTCTTGACTGTTTGAGAAGTCCATCTTCATCCCGGAAATCAATGTATACAAGATCTATGGCTTGTAGGCCAAAGGCCTTGGCTATGACGACAATCTTCTGTCGGGCATAGAGGATGTCCTGGGCATCCTTACTGCTTGTCGAACCTGTAAGTGGGGTGTTCACAGAAAAGTGAGACTTTAACCAGACACACACTACAGAGACCAGGTTATAAGGACACATATGTCTCCCTGGGAACTGCACCCCAGAAAAGCAACTATTTAAATACACAGGAAGACAGGTATATGGGGAAGAAATTTTGAATGGCACATGTGTCTAGTGAACTGGCACATTTTTTCAATATAATCACTTGTCCATGCATCAGGGAAAGGCCCCTCCTCCGTTCCAGGAGGAGGAAGTGGGGTCACAGTGGTCTGACTTCCTCTTTTATGCTATCACTTGGAGAGTGTCAGTCCAAAGACAGCATTACAACAAGTGTCCAGGAGGCTGTGTGTGGGGAGATGGTTCACTTCTTAGGAATGGCATGTGCTGTCTTGTCACATCTATCCTCAAAGACGTCCTGAGCCTGTGCTCTGGGGTTTGGCTGGGTACTTGAGAAAGGAGAAAGACTCTCATTTTGGGAGAGGCAGAAAGTACCTTAGCTGTGGGACACATGAAAGTCTCCTGAGAAGACTCACATCAAAATAAAATTTTCTTTTTCACCCTGAGGGAAGGGGGTGTATCACTGCTTAAACTTGGGCTACAATAGTAGGAAAAGTGTCCCCAGACCCCTGGGATGTGGGTCTGAAAATACTTTCTGTGACCTCGGCCTTTAGTCTCCAACCATAGGAGCAGTCAGATCAGAGCAGCGCTCAAGGGAGCGAGCACATCAGTGGGTATCAGCAGGCCAGTGCATCCTAACAATAAATGTTCTGAAATGGATGCTAAGGCAAATTTATAATCTATCTAAAAAAATAATTGCCTACTACATTTAATGCAGAAAACACGGTACTGAGGCCAATCTTATAGCCCTCTAACATTCTGTTTGGAGGCCCAAGTCTTGGACTGATGTGAGGACAAAATATTTAAGCCAGCATCAGGCTGTTGATGTAATATGTTAGTAGAAGCCAAGTAGACCCTGTATGTTCGTGAGCATGCCTAAGGCTGCAAGAGGCTTTATTCGTTATTTTATAAATGAGCAGAAGTAATAATTCAGGACTCTGAAAGCAGGAAATGGAGCCCAAAATTATCAGGAAGTAGTGGTCAGTTAGTTGTCATGAAAAGCCATGGTCAGGGCTGGAAAATATGCATTGTTATGTAAATGTTCCTTTGTGAGGGGGCAAAGAAAAAATTACACACACACACACACATACACATACACACACACACATACACATACACACACAGGGTGAGGGTGAGGGGTTGGAAGAGGAAGAGAGAGAGACACACACAGAGACAGACAGACAGACAGACAGACAGAGACAGACACAGAGAGAGACAGAAAGATCTTTGACACCTATGCTGGCTCTAAAATCTTCTCCTCCAAAAACGACTGCATCTAGGAGAAGACCCACTTGAGGCCCAGTCTTCAGTGTTTCTTCACACACTGCCTGGAAAACAGCAGAAAAGAGTCTCAGAGGCTGGGAGCCAGCGCATTGGTGACAGGAAAGATCCGGATGCTAACACGCTTTGGCTGAAATAAACTGAGCCCTTCCCCAAAGCATTTAATGTTCTCCAGATAGGTATCTCATACACATTTGCTTCGCCTGGTGTTTACATTCATATAGCCACCATTAGTTATCATATAGTTATAATGCTCAAATTAGAGGCCACGCAATTTCCTAGAACTTGGGTGAACTTTTTTTTAGCTTCTTTTATAAGTAATTTACGTTTCTTCAGAATTTGTTTTTGCTTTAAGAGACTCTTAAATAATAAACATAAAGTCGCAGGAGAGGAGGAAAGAATTTTTGAAATCAAACTAATTGGATTATTTGCATTAGCATCAAGTAAAATGGTTTCAGGCTTAAAGTCAGGCAGTGCAAGACCTACAATTTCGAAGGGGAAATAAAAATGTTACGAGTCACCCAGGGCGTGTGAACAAAGCAACTCTGACATATCCAAATGAAAGCAAAGACGAATCACGTTTGCTGGAGATGTAACTGTGAGTCTTGGGGCTATAATGTGCTAACATTTGTGTGGATAGGAACAGAATGAAGGAAGTGGTGGGGATACTGTTGGTTAATTTCAGGCATTATGGGAGCTCCTAAATACATTACTGAATAAAATGGCAAAATAGTGCTTTAAAATTAAATCAATGTATGCACCTGATTCCAGCTCAGGGATGTGCTTATGTTTATGTTCTGGGGGTGCTAGGGTGGGCTGTAGCACTTTGTGGTTATTTGTATAAAGGAGTTAGTCATGAGACAGGCTTGAAGCAGCCTCAAAAATTTGTACTCGGCCCTCCTGCACAGTCCTCCAGCTCTGTAAAGCTCCCCTGAGCATTTGCTTGTACATTCTGCATCTCAGGTCACCTAACTTTTTTTAGTGATTTTTTTTCCTCCTGCCCTCTGGAGTGGAAGAGAATAAAACAAAATACAAAAACACCAAGGACTAGAAAGTTTGAGAAGAGGGTACAGGGAGTGCTAGACAGTTACTCAAAGGTCAGGTGGAATGGGAGACACATTCTGGGAAATGGTATAAAGGCCAATGGATCAAGGGGGGACAAACGAGCTGGCTATGAATCTGGTAAGGCAGATAGTTTGATGCAGCCACACAGCCACACAGTGGCTGAATATTGGCTCAGCTAATCTTTCTGAATGTGTGTTGGAAAACACTTTACATTTGAAACTGGCAAATTGAAACAAGAGACTATAAATTATTTATATATGTGAACTATAAACAATAATCTTATCTGCTAGGGATTACAGATAATAGTACCACAGACAAGCCAGGCCATTTGCAGATGGAAAACAATTTGTAGGAAAAACAATTCAAATTTAATTCATAAAGGCGACAAAATAAAATTTCCATGTACATTTAATCTATACATGTACTAATTCAAAGCATATATTTATTCTGTGATTTTATATTTATGCATACTCCAGGAACATATAAATGTTTTGTTTAGATATTTGAGACTGAGAAGGCCTTCTTTTTAAATTAGTTTCTTTGTCTTCCAAGATATTAACAATCCAAGATAATATATTTTAGAGTGGAATGGATAAGACAGGGTTTAAATATCTTACTTTGTTTATAAATCTTTCTTTAAAAAAATTTTTTAAGTAGATGCTCAAATAAAAAAAAATCCATAAGTTCTCTTTAGGAAATTAAAATAAAATACTAACTTACATAACCACATTATGGCTTTCTTACCTTAAAATTGAGCAAACCCATTGCAGTTTCCACAAAGGGGATTAAATTCATTGGTTGTTCAAGTTTTCGGCCTTTTAAGTGGAATGAAAATTTGTCTGAAAACTAAAATCAGAAGTGTCATAGGTGATTAGCAACAAAAACTTAAGTTCAACCCCTGAAATGCAGACACAGGAGCAGGGCTGAAGTCTCTGACCTGAGGAAGTAATACCCCAGCCCCCTTCATCCACACAAAGGAATGGGGAGGGGAAGAAAGGAAAAGCAAAGAAAACCAAAGGTAGCAAAGTCCCCCCAAACCAGAGTGAAATCTCAAACACCACAGATCGTTTTCTTCCAAAGGAAATAATTTGAGGCCTAGGAGTTGAAAGGGAGGAGAGATTCCCAGGTTTAAATGTTTCCCTGGCAAACATATTTACTCAAGCCCCTCACCCTCTCTTCTCCGTCAAATGCAAATGTAGGCATTCAGAACAAAGCAGGGCTCTCTACCTGCCCTTCTCGTTTTGTTTCGAACCCAACACCGACACATGTGCAGCTGTTCGGCTCCCTTCTACATATGTAGAATCTATATTATTCGTTATAGTGCCATTACCCTTTGTTCGGGAGGGTTTTCTTCATAATTTTTTTTTTAAGCTTACCTAGGAAGACCTTAAAAAGGAAGTTTAATTCTTTGAAGACCAAAGCTTGCCAATTTTTTCCATGAGACCAGTTCACAGCTAGCTCTGTGCTGCCAGTGGGGTAGCCCAAATTCCAAAATCTATCATCTGGAAACATACAAAAGCTCTCGCAGATCCCCCACACCCCCCGTTTCAAAAAAGGGGGGGAGCCCCACAATCTAAATTGTAAATCTATTATGTCTATCTAGATCTAATAAGATGTGGGAAGATAAAAAAAAAAAAAAAGAAAAAAAACACAGGTATAATAAAGATATTTTTTGTAAATAAAGTTGAAAACATATATATCCATGTAAATTTAAGGAATATTCAGCCATTAATGGATATCAAAAGAAAAGGGAATTTTAATCATCTCTCCATTCAGTCTCAGTTGGGTAAATCATATCTAAGAGATTTGCATAAATATAAACCATCAAAGACTTTTCATCTTCAAAGGGGGTTTCAAGACCCTATAAGCTTTGTACTGTAATCATCACAGGTCACCACCCTGCAGGAATAAGGCTGCTATGGCAACATAAAAAACTAATGCTTAAGGCTTAGCATAATATTCTCACTAATAGAAAGGAAACTCATTTTAAAAGCTGGCAGCCTATTTACCAGAGGCAGGATTAAAGGTGTTATTTCCCCTTTACCTGCCCCCTCCTCGCCTGTGCGCCCCCCCCTAAAAAAAACCTAATCACTGGGATCTTTAAAAAGCTTTTGAGCGATTTGCAGTAACTTTACAATTAGGCTAAAATAAATCACAGCTTTCAGTAATGAAGAATGATTCCCGTCGTTCTCTGCCCCTCCCTCTCAGACGGCATCAGCATCACCTCCTCAGTAACTTTCCGGGAAGGAATAACCCACCACAACAGCCAGGGTGAAGGGGAGGGTGAAGAGATGGGCAGCCTGTATGGTACTAGATGCAGGGAAAATAAAACATAGTTCATGTCACAATTAAACCTGAAAACAAGTGGTGAAATATTGGTGGCTTGAATACAAAGCTACGAATTTTCTTTCCGAAGAAGAAGAAGAAGAAGAAGAAGAAGAAGAAGAAGAAGAAGAAGAAGAAGAAGAAGAAGAAGAAGAAGAAGAAGAAGAAGAAAAGAAAGAGAGAGAGAGAGAGAGAGAGAGAGAGAGAAAGAGAGAGAGAGAGAAAGAAAGAAAGAAAGAAAGAAAGAAAGAAAGAAAGAAAGAAAGAAAGAAAGAAAACTCCCAAGGCTACTTGTACCATTCTCTGTGATAGTCATTATAACTATAAAAATCGTAAAGTTTACAACTAGGTAAATCTTTTACAAGATATCCCCCATTCTTAATGAACAAAACCTCTAATGCCTTTTGCTTTATAGCCAATAGGGACATTTAAAAATTAAATATGCTAGCCCCTCCCCCTTCCCCATCCCCTTCTTTCTTAAAAAATTGCATTAAGTACTAACACAAAAGGTAACTAGTGGAGAAGTTTCAATTAATTTTTTTCAAAAGGAGACGATTAAATGTTTCCGGCCTGGTAAAGTGTTCATTTCATCGAGGTGGAGGGGACTGCGGAGCGGGGCGTGAGGAAAAGAAGGGGGAAAATTACAAAGAGATTGGGGAGGAGATGAAGTAGCAGGGCTCAGCAATTCTTTCAATTCCAGTGCACACCCAATAGCGTGTTGGAAGAATGCACACTGTTGGGATTTGTGGGAGAATTGTCCCACGACAAAAGAGGCCGAGTTACGCTTGTTACAGCCCAATAAGCCGTGCCAGTCAGACAAGAGCCCACACTAACGACAAAAGGCGAGCAGGCGATGCTCACACAAAAGAAAACAAGCAAGCCCGTCTTTCAGTTGTGCATCAGGCTTGGGGTTTTACGCTCCGCATACATACAAACGGAGAGGAAAATAAACAGCCCCAAAGACTTCTGTTAACTACAAGTCCTATTTCAGTTTCAGAGTGTCCCTCACATTCAAGGATTTGAAACAGCGACAGGAAGCTGTAGCTCAAGGTTGGGGAGATCACCCCCATCTTAACTGAATGGGGATGCTGGTGTTAATAGGCATTAACGATGGAACCATCGGGGAAGAGGGCCTTCAGAGTCCTCCATCAGCTTAATACTTATCTGTATGGGGTCGGAGCCCTCGGGACATCAATACTCTCTATACCCCTGTCTCTCTAAGTAACTAAGGCTAACATTGGTGAGATCTCTGGTTTACTAAGCAAACACAAGCCCTCAATGACAGATCTTTGAGACTGTTCCAATGCAGAGCTGTCAACACAAATACCATGGCATCTACATGTATAACAATTTTCAATCTTCTAGTAGCTACAGTCAAAGAGTAAAGTGGAGAAGACAGATTGACTTTTCATATCTTATATTCAACTAATAGATTGCAAATATTATCACTGCAATATGGAATCAATATAAAAACTGAGATATTTTCCATTTTTCTCTCCACTTGGAAAGTATATCAACTCTCTAAACTCAGGCATGTGTACATCTTACTCATTATAAGCACACCTCAATTTGCACAGGCCACATTTCAAATGTTCAGTAGCCACATGTGGCAGGTGACCCATGTATTGACAACAAAGATCCAGCATATTCAGATGAATTAGAAAAGTGAGCAGTTGGGGCTGGAGAAATGGCTCAGTGGTTAAGAGCACTGGTTGCTCTTCCAGAGGATCTGGGTTCAATTTCCAGCACCTACATGGCAGCTCACAACTGTCTGTAACTTCAGGGGGTCTGACACCTTCATACAGACAATACATGCAGGCAGAACACCAATGATTATGAAATAAAAATAAATACATTATTACTTTTTTTAAGTGAGCAGTTTTACCAGGTATGACAGCTACTCAGGGTATTGGTATAGCTAGATCCACAGCCCTCAAGATAATATGAGATGTGGCTTTGAATGCCCCGATCATCCATCAGTCTAGTTACTCCCAGAGGTTCTGCTCCAAGGATTATAATAAAATGGCATTCAAGGGACTTGCAGAATAATAGTAACTCCCTATTCAATCCCCCCTCCCCAAATCTCACAATTAAAACAATCATAGCATAATTGGGCCCATTTCAAAGTTTTCTTAAGTAATTTGACATGCCAACCACTTTACATTTCAGGCTTTTATTGGCTGAAAAGTCTGTCATGAAAAGCAAACACACCTGACAGCAATTTAAAAAGGGCGCACCAGAGAGCTGCTCAGGAAATAATATCTGAGCTAATTAAAACCACGAGTTAAAAGCTTCCTGTCTCTTCCTCCAGTTGCCCTCAGGAGTGACCTTTTCCTTTTCTGCTTCGGCTCTTTGCTTCATATGCAGCTAGAGTTCCTCACTGTGTGTGATGGCTCCAGGAGAGCCTCAGCCACAACCTTCTACGTCATGGCTCTTCAGTTCAAGCCCTGGCTTCCCAGTGGCAGGGTGGATGCTCAGGCAAGTCAGTGTCCAGGGACTGATGTGTGAGGACTACTGAGGCAGCTGCTCTGACCACAAATCCAATCAGAAAGCAAAAGCAGTTTCCAAAGGAGAGCTCTTTTGGGGAACATGTTGGGGAAAGCTAGATTCTTAGGGAAGGAAATAATTGACTGTATCACTCGCTTTTTACAATTCCTTCTTCTCTCCTTCTTTCTTGAGTCAGGATCTCATGTAGCCCAGGCTGGCCTGAAATGTGCTATGTACTTCAGGATGACCTTGAACTTCTGATCTTCCTGTCTCTATCTCCTGAGTGCTGGGGTTAAATGCATTTGTCACCACATCCAATATTAAGTGATGCTGGGGTATCAAACCAGGGCCTTGTGCATGCCAGGCAAGCACTCTACCAACTGAGCTACAACCAGCCCCATTTTCTCCTCTTCTCTTCCTGTTTCTCTCTTTTCTCAAGGTACTGACTGAATCCAGGACCTGACACATGACAAGCAACAGCTATTGGATGAGCTACGTGTGTGCATTTCTAAACCAATGCCATCCACACCCTCTCCTGGTGACTGACTCCTCAGCCTGCCTTCAGCTGCAGAGCAAAGCACTGTTACTTACCCACTGGATTTCTTCAGGACTTTCCACCTTTGGTAGCATCATACTAGAGGGAAGAACTTGGGCCTGCAGAATTGTCTCTAAGTCAGCTTCAGCCAGACCACTAGACACCGAGTTGATTCTCACACACTTTTCTGTCGGGCCCAGGTCAAAGTCTTCGAGAGTTCTTACTATTCTCAACCGAGCTTCATCCTGTAAATATTGAGAAAACATGTCTCCTAAATTTATTCTTAATGTTAAGTGATGGACACTGATGAACACTGCGATTAGAATAATGTATTTTCTGCCCACAAAATGATATTGGAAATGAATCACCCAAACTCATAGGGGATTGAGCCAATGATTTCTACACATCATTCAAGACTGCTGGAACACAATGGGGATTATACCATCATGGATTCTGGTTGGTGTACCTCTGAATAGCAGAGTAATTTGTTCGTTAGTGTGCTTTCCAATTGAGGAGGTAAAATAATTCACTGATTGGGCATTAACTGTGTGCTAAACATGGCTCCAAGTCTTTCCCCACATTTCTTCATTTAATAAGTCTTAGAAACTAGATGCCATTGGAATTGTGGCAATGTCACCCGTCGGCATGGTCACATTAGGGGAAAGGCAAGTATTTGCTCTTCTGCTCCCCGGGTATCACTCTTTTTTTAAAAAAAAAAGAAATCATCTTTTTATTTTATTTTTTGTGGCCAAGCTGAATCTTGACATTCAATTAAGAAGGGGTTCACAGGAATCTGACATTCAGTACTTCACGAGAAGCTCCCCTAATTCAGATGGAAACAGCAATATCACCAAGAAATCCCTTCATGGAGTGCTTGACAAATAGACTGTTTTCTTTGATTTGACAGTCTTTGCTGCAGTTATAAAAAGCTGAAAGTCACATTTGAATATTCCCAAGAAAAGCTGTATGAGACCAAATATGTTATGTATTAGCTTTGAGTTGGAGGTGAAGACTGTGGGATGGGAGGTGGAGAATGAACACTGAAGGGCGGGGGTGGTGTTGAGAGAAAGGAAGCTCTTAGGGCCATTATTTACTGCCAATTCTAGTTTCAAAAATAAAGTCCTCCATCTTGCCAACAGCCCTCAACAAATTCTCACTGTCAGAAGGAACACTTATCAAAGGTAGTTTCATTTGGGAAGAATTTTTATTACACTAATAAAACTTTAAAGCATCTAACTACTGATGAATGCATTAAAAAAAAGTCTTGGACCTGGAAGCATGGCTCAGTGGTTAAGAGCACTCACTACTCTTGCAGAGGACCCAGATTTAGTTCCCAGCATCCACATGGTGGCTCACAACTGTCTGGAACTCCAGTTCCAGGAGAGTGACACTTTCTGCTGGCCTCCATGGGCACTAGTCACAAACATGGTGCACATATATATGTGTACATATACAACATTCAAGCACATAAAATAAAATTATATAAATCTTTGAAAAAAAACCTGACAATATTCATCCATTTGAACAGCAACACATATCTGAGAAAAAAAGCTCCCCAAAGCATAGATAACAATGAATTATTTGCTGCAAGTAGTAAGCACGCTTTCAGCCCTAGCACTCAGGAGACAGAGGCAAGCAGATCACTGAGCTCGAGATCAGCTTGGTGCACATAGCAAGTTCCATGCTAGCAGAGTTACATGGTAAGAGCCTATTTAAAACAAACAAAATGATCAGATTATTTAAGCCAATATGAAGTCTAAACCCAGTCAAAGAGATAATCCAAGACAGCTGATTTAAACCAGACGTAAGTAAGAATGGAAATCAGGAAGGCTTCCAGTTGGGGCCTGAATTAAACAGTGTGATGAAAGACTAGCTTAGAGTTATTAGGACACACGGAAACAGCACTCAGAATCAGTTTAGGATGTCTCTGTGCAAACTTGATTTACAGAGTGTTTGCTGTAAATAACTAGGCTGAATTTAGGCAAAAACAAGAGAAAGCACATGAGATGATGCAGTCAATAATGACTTCAGTCCACACAATGTCATTATTTAACTTTTTAGATTTGTCTTTAATTATGTATATGTGTGTTGAAGGAAGTATGTATACACAAGTGCAGGTGCCCAAAGAGGTCAGAGGTATCAGACTCCCTTGAAGGTGGTTGTGAGCTACACTTGGTGAAGGTGTGGGGAATCAAACTCAAGCCCTCTACACGAGAAGTATGAGCTCTTAACCCTAATCTACCTCTCCAGCACCCACTTCTGCCCAAATTGGTTATTTCACAGTGCAGATTCTACTTAGCCACATGCTATGCACTGTTGCTGCAGAAACTAAGGAGAATGCACTGGTGACCAAGCATAGGAGTTAGCCCAACAGCAGGGTTTGAAGGAGGGGTTCCTCTGCTTTTAGTAGTGACTGTTTTCAGATCCACAGCCTCAGAGAACCTAAAAACCAGGTCATGCTGCATGCACACAGCCTGGACAGTTACAAAGTCTGGATAGTCTGGGTTTGCCAACATTCCAACTTTTGGATTCTCACCCTATAGCAAGGCAGCCTTGCAGAGGGTCCACTGAAACACTGACTGGGAAAATAAAAGGTAATTCTTGAGACTGTCCAGGGAAAAAACTATTGTGCAGTCAAGCGGAGTGTGGTGGTGCACTCAGGAGGCTGAGGGAGGAGGAGATCAAGTTTTAGGCCAGCCTGGTCTACATTGCAAGACGCTGTCTTTAAAAAGAAAAGACTGAATCGACATGTCTACTGAACATGTGTGCTCGATGATGCAGAATCCCTGGCAGCTCCTTAAATTGCTTCTCTGGTGTCAAACAGAACCGGACCCTTAAGCTGTTTGGTTATTTCCTTTGGATTTGAAGAGAACTGTTTGTTCAGCGCTCGTGTTCCAAACATGTTTGTGATTTCCATCTGAAGTCAGATTGCCATGGTTTCCGCACATTCCGGCTGACTTAGTAAAACTCAATCCTTGTGAAATTGGCTGCAAATGAAGCACCTAATTCCAGTTTCTAGGCATAATCTGATTAGTCCTTTTCGTGTTATAATAATGAGCAGTGAGTGCTCAGCATTTTCTTCTTTTCCTTTTTGTTTTTTTGGCTCAGAATGAACACAGAGCTTTTTCCTGGCATCACAGTGTACCTTTCCAAAGAGAGAGGATGGTGTCTGAGGTATATTGCCACACAACACCCTTATTAACAGGCTGCTGATTGCTACAATTTACATCAATGAAGAGCGGATCCCTCTGGTACGTATCCCAAAATATCCAACAACCTTACTGAATTTACACCAACCAACAAGTGTGTGGATTTTTTTTTTGTTATTTTAATGGTGAAATATGTCACTGTGCTAGTAAATACACCCAAGCCATCTGTTGGGTTGCGAGGAAGGCAGCTTCTAAGAACAATTAGTGGTGTGTATTCTGTTAGTCCTGTCCACCCAGTTGTGAGGAGAGACATTCTGCACCGGGTTCGTTCGGCTTCTCCCTACCATCTCTCTCATCCTCATCACCTCCTTCCCTTCAGACTTCTTTTTCTCCGGCCCCACTCCTCCCTCCATCCCCATCTTTAGGTGGGATAATAAGAGGTCCGCAGGCGCCTGACATACTCTCTCAGTGGGGTGTTTAGAGTGACTTTCAGAAATTTTGAAAGGAACATGCTTTGCGGGGAAAGAATGTTATGGGGGAAAGTTGGTCTCATTGAGGCTGAGGAGGGACCGCACTGCAAATAGAACAGCCTTGTTGATAGGTCCTCATGGCGGGATGAACGTGGCCCTCTCAGATCTGACAAGCTTGAAAGCTGAATGATAGAATCAAGGCCTTTCATGAAAAGTCTCCTTAGATCTTAGAAGTGTTCACTTACTGCCATTGAGTGTTCTGTATCATGTCTGATTGCAGATTTCACGTGGGTTTCAGACAAGTTGGGATGGACCAGAATCTTCCAAAGCCCTTGTTCTGAAAGTGGCCTTCCCAAAGCTCCTGCAACGGTCGATATTCCGTGCCACAGGCTATTTGGTGCAGTGGACCAGAGGCTAATAAAACTGTCCTTATGCATAAGCCACAGTACTATGTGACTGTGTCTGGGCCAGGAACCAAGGCGTGCTATGATTTCAGAGCCCGGATTCCTGTCACCTGGGGAGGAGACACGCTCCGGTGACGTAAGAAAGCAGATAAATCAACCATCCCCAAGACCCGCGGCCTCCGAAATTAAGGGAGAAAATCCGTGCAGTTGGTTCAGTTGGCACCCATTAAAGCTAATAACTAATCATTCTCGCAAGTTTCTAGCTCAGAACGATGAGATCTGTAAAGAAAACAACATCCGTCCACTTTTACACTCCAGTGGAAGGGGTGGTCCCTCGCGGCGGGGCGGCACAGTCTCGCCATCTGGAGAATAAATCGAGTGTGAAGTACAGTATAGTTTGGGACCAAGCTCCGTGGCGGCCGCTCAGCAGTCAGTTCATTAGCCCCAAACTTCCAGGGATTAGAGGGGCATCAATTCTACTGTCGGATAGGATAAGACAGACAGGGCACGGGATTCAAGAAGCCTTGAGACATCCAGGAGCCCCCTCGGGTTTATTTACAGAATCACAAAGTATAAACACACTCAAATAAGTGCCTTAAATAACAGCATCATCAGTTCCCTAACATCTGAATGAACACCTTCCCTCTGTGCCCCACCCCAAACCGTGAAGTAAAAGTATACCTTTTTCCAGGACAGGGGAAAGCTCGCCTCCACCAGACGCTGAGATTTGGTAATTAAGAAACAGAAAGGGCCTTCTAGACTCAGGGTAGGTGTGCAGCATTTGTAATTAAAAACATACATAAAATTAATATTTTCATTCCATAAAGATAAATGTCATGTTTTATGTTCCAAAGCACTAGTAAATTCTACCTTTTATAGATTGGTCCATCTTAACCCATTTCCATTTCATCTCACTTGTAAAGTGAGGTCACAGGTGTGGACTCTTCCAAGTTTTGAGCATAAGGCCTTGATATCAGCATCTTTATATTAAAATTGTCAATGTCAAAAAAAAAAACCCAAAACAGTTTGTGTGAACTGTTCCACCTACAGACTCCTTTTTCATCTGTTTTCTAAACATCTGTAATAAAAAGCAGAAACGCCTGTGACAAAACAGGTCGTCATAAGGAGACCATGCTGCATTTCTTCACTAGTGTTCAGAATTTATCATTACAGGAGTCACTAAGAGGGATGTAGTAACCAAATCGAAAAACATGTTCCCCAATTCCTGCAAACTGGCAGTGTGTTTCATTAGGCAAGAGACGGTGTTGGCATTTAATAAGGCATTAATTGTACAAAATAATGAGTTTTGTTCTGACTTTTCAAATATGCACAGGACTTGCTTTGATCCTATGAATTTCTAGCTCATTGGTTTTTGTTGTTGTGTGGAAAAGAAATCTTGGTTTGTCTTCTGAAAGGAAAAAAAAGAAAAGAAGAAAGGAAAGAAGGAACAGAGAAAAGAAAACCTCGCATTGATGACATTCGGTATTTAACTGACTCAATTTCATGCCTTGAGTCATCCTACAGCCTTGGACATGCCATCCCTATTCACTCTGCAACCATAGATTTTGATACAGGAGAATTTTTAATATGTTAATCATGAAAGGTACATTAAAACAAGGGCTTATGGCAAAAAAAAAATACAAACCATCTTTCATTTCAAGGACTGAGGAGGCTCAGGAAGCTTACAGCATGTAATTGGAATTTGTCATCTCAGAGATTTAATTGACTCCACAACAGACAAATACAACACATAAACCACAACGATGACATTCAAAACTCTACGAGAAGAGTTTATTTTATGGTCTCCAAGCAATTAAAAACATTTCTAGCAGAGCCAGCAAGAGATGCTCTGCAGGCAAAGGCCCTGCTGCCGAGCTTGAGGATGTGAGCCTGATCCCCCAAACCACACGATGGAAATGAACTGGCTCCTGAAGGTTGACCTTCGACCATCACATAGCCAGGTAGCTCCGGCATGTACTGCTCCCCAAATATTTTCAATGTGAATGACACAGGCTTTTACATGTGTATCACATAAAGGATGTATATAGATTTCACCTAAAAAATAGAAAAGAAACTATAAACAAATGTCCATCTCTAGTCAATGATAAGCATGCAGTAGGACTGAGGGAAGGGTGAGTGGGGCTGTCTGCAACTTACATTGAAATAAATTTCAAAAGATGAGTTGATGATAGACAAGAGAACAGACCGATACAGATGAGGGCAGGCAGAATAACGTGTTAGTGGGAAAATACAGGCAGGAATACTTGACATTCATTGTATAATCTTCCAAATTTTCTGATGTTCAGAATTCTGGTAATAAAATTAAGGAGAAAAAAATCCTGAAAAGATTTCTAAAATGTTCATATTTGGAGGAGCTGGCCAACGACTGTTTGTTAAAAACAAACAACAAACAAAACCCCCCACAATTATTCTTAACATTTGTGTAATTTGAGTATTCCCACAACAAAAAGTTTCACTTTGTTATTTGTAGGACAGGATTTGTAGACAATAATTTGTGAGTTTTTGGTGGGTTCATTTTTTGTTTGCTTGTTTTTGGTGTTGTTGTTTTGGTTTGTGTTTTCTTTTTGAAGATTTATTTAATGTGTACTACATAAATGTCTGGTGCTCTCAGAGGCCAGAAGGCGGCACTGAGTCCCCTGCAATTGGAGCGTGGGTGATCATGGTCCACCATGTGGGTGCTGGGAACCAAATCCAGGTCCTCTGCAAGAGCAACAAGTGTCCCTAACCACTGAGCTGTGGTTCCAGTCCCTAGGTAATACTTTAATAAGACAAAATTCACACAACATGTAACCCCCCACCCCCCCACCCCTCCACCTCCCCCCACCCCCACCCCTCCACCTCTCCACCTCTCCACCTCTCCACCTCCCCACCCCCCCCACCCCCACCCCTCCACCTCCCCACCCCTCCACCTCCCCACCCCTCCACCCCCACCCCTCCACCCCTCCACCTCCCCACCCCCCCACCTCTCCACCTCCCCACCTCCCCACCCCTCCACCTCCCCACCCTTCCACCTCCCCACCCCTCCACCCCCCCCCTTCGTACTTTTTCTTTCCGCGTGTTTGCTTTGTTCTGAAACTCAGAGACATGACATGTGAGCTTCTGTAATGGCTTCTTTCATCTATGGTTATGTGTCAGGATTCACTCACGTTCTGTCGCCCATCAACACTTTCTCTTTTACTGTCAAACAATAGCCTGTCATGTGGCTATGGCATATTATATTCACCTATCATCAGCTAGTGAACATTTAGGTTGCTTTCTACTTTGGGACTGTTATGGGACATGTTCTGTGGACATTTGTGGACCCCTCCTCTTTATATGTTCATATACACTTCTTCTCTTGAACTTGTATTTAAAAGAAAGGGTGACTCCTGGGTCACATAGAAACTGTATGCTCAGCATTTTAAGGAACCATCAGCTGGTTCTCAAAGTGTCTACAGCAATTTAATATTCCAAGGCCAGCAGTATATGGCTAGAGATGAGGCCCATAGGATTAGGAGTGAAGTACAATTTAGTCAGGGGAACAAAACCTGTGGTCCCTAGGCAGGTAGGGGTGGCCCTTTCCACAGAGCCCAAGAGGGGCAAGGGAAGCTGAGAAAGGGCTTGGAGCCTCTGAAAACCAAGAATTTCAATAGCAGCAGCAGAAGGAACACCCCCCGCCCCCAGGAAGGATCCCAAATGGACAGATGGGATGGCTTCAAGAATACAGGCATTTGCCACGTACAAGCCTGATTATCTTAAGTTCAATTCCTAGAGTCCACAGGGGAAGAAGAAAACTGACTCCTGAAAGCTGTGCTCTGACTTCTGTGTGGGTGCTGTGGCTGGCACACACACACACACACACACACACACACACACACACACCCCAAGTAAATGGCCCATATATATGAAGGAAGTCAGGGGAGGAGAGCCCTGCTTAATGCCAGGCGGCTGGACAGAAAGTCTTCCAGAGCAGCGTCTTGGCCATGAGAGAATTAGGGATACTCCACTGGAAAGAAGGCTCAAGAGCTGACAGGATCTGAATTCACGGGTGGACCCTAAGGTCCCTCTAGACCAGGTGCCCTGTGCCCAGGACTGCATTTGGGGAGGATCTGTCCTTGGTCAGGGCCCTGCTCAGTTCCATCCCACATTGAATCATCTTCCTTTGGGAAGGCCTCTAGGCCTAGAGTGACTCACTCCCTCTTACCTTCTGTTTTGGGGACTCCAGTCCAGCCCACTGACAAAGCAGAGCGGGTGGCTAGCCACCTTCCTGAGCACACCTGCTAATTGGTCTCTCTCTACCCTGCCCTTGGAGGACTGAGAAGGTGTCTCTCTTCCCCAGCTGGTACAAAGTACAGCTGGGTCCAAGCTGCCCTCTCCCTCGCTTGGTATTTATATTTCACGACTTCTCTGGGTTAGAGGAGGTAATTAACTGTTTTGGTTTAAAAGCCCTCCTGCTGAGTCACAGTCTGCGTGGGAGAATCAAAGTAAACAAGCGACAGTGTCATCAAAGGAGTCCGCACCTACCTTTCTTCATTACTAGAAGGAGAACGCACCGTCTGCGCAGGTGCCGCAGATCACCATTCAGGGCAGGATCCCGGTACTTTCGTTCTTTTTAACGGTAAATCAAGAGTGATCGGTTCATAATTTAATGAGGCAGGCTTACCAAGGGTCCAAACATGCTGGAGATAACAGGCGCATCACCTGTGCCCTGCCTGAGCCGTTGTAAGTGATGCTGGCAACATATTCTGGCAGGTGACCTCCTCTAGCTGCACCGTGGGGGAAGGATGAAAAGTTTCCTCTTCATGTGAACATCAAGAACCAGTCATCTGGGCTGGGCACATGGCTCATTTGGTGGAGTATTTGCCTAGCATGTTTGAGGACCTGGATTTGATCCCAACCTTCATAAACTGGGTATGGTGGGGCTCACGGGTAATCCCAGCTGTCAGGAGGCAGACAGGGAAGATCAGAAGTTCAAGGTCATCCTCAGCTACGCAGCAAGTTTCTTGCCAACTTGAGTTACATGAGGTTCTGTTTTTTGTTTGTTTTAGGGTTTCTCTGTGTAGCCCTGGCTGTCCTAGATCTCACTCTGTAGACCAAGCTGGATTCGAACTCACAGAGATCCACCTGCCTCTGCCTGCTGAGTGCTGGTATTAAAGATGTGCACCACCACCACCCAGTTGGAGGCCAGCCTGGTTTACAGATCAAGTTCCAGGGCAGCCAGGTTCTCACAGAAAAATCAACCAACCAACTAAATTTTAAAAATCTATTTTTTATGATTTTTGTGTGCATGATGGGGTGGCACACATGTCATAGCATGCACACGGGGGTCGTTTTTCCCCTCCCACCTTGAAGTAGTTCTGGGGTTGAACTGAGGTCACCAGGTTCCTGCAAGTGCCTCTACCTACTAAGCCATTTTGCCATCCCAAGAACAAATTTTTTATTAAAGTCTAGCTTACTTCTGTGTAGGAAGACATGATTCTCTACCCATCACCAAGACTTGGAGGCATGTTGGGCCGCATCTCTCCCAGGAACAAACAGTGACACCGAGGTCAGAAATTCCTGTCTCTATGCCAGCTACTTCAGCAATACCTAAGGTGTTGACACAAAGGATCTGGAGTCCATCAGTAGGAAGTTATAGCAACACACTGGAAGAAGGAAAACCGCCCTGCGGCATGGCACAAGTGACCTCGCCAAGAAGTAAACCAGGCAGAGCCTCATTTTGGTGATTTGTTCTCGACTCCCTCTCTTCCCACAGCAGAATACCAAGCAAAGATGATTCAAATCTATTAGCACATTCACTTGTCTTCCTGGCAGCCAGGAAGTAGGAAAACTTGGTGATGCAATAATGTGTGCATCAGCAGAAACAAACTATTTCTAGCAGTGCATCAAACTGGACCATGACTCTTCTGAACTACCTTTCACATAGGCAAGGCCTTAAAGCTAAGAGAAATTAATACAAACAAACCCTTCCAGACAAGAGATTGTCTCAGACAGGGTCTCATGTATCCAGACTGGTCTCAAACTTCCTACGTAATGGAGAGTGATTTTCAGTTCCTTACCTCTGGCTTCCACCTCCCAAGTGCTGGGCTATCCCAGGCTCAGTACTTTCTGCACATTAGACAAGCACTCACTCAATTAACTGTGCTACATCCCTAGGTTGGGGCCTTTTTTTTTTTTTCTTTTTTGAGGCATGGTCTTGCTGGAGAGCCTTGGATGGCCTGGAATTCACTATGTAGACCAGACTCGAGACTGTGGTGATCCTTTGTCACGCATGGCCTCTGGAAAACTGGGATTGCAAGCATACGCCGCTACATCTCGCTTACGCTGTTCCTTGTATGTGGCAAATTTATAGGCATTTAAACGTTTTTACATTATTTAATAAACATACTTGTCTGTGTGTGAGCAAGTGTGTGTGCCGTGACACACACATGGGGGTCAGGGGTCAACCTGAGGGATGTGGTACTCTACATCATACAGATTCTGAGGTCAAAGGCAGATCATCAGGCTTGACAGCAATCCAACTTATCTGCTGAGCTATCTCACTAACCCAAATATTTTAAAGGGTTACACTTTTCCAGAACAAATAGATAGGTATTTTAAAGAGTTGTACTTTTCCATCTCATTCATAGTTCTTTTAAGTCAACAATGAAAAAGATGAAAAAAAATAAAGGCTAGGTGATGGTGATGGCATGCAAATCCTTTTGTTTGTTTTTGTTTTTGAGACAGGGTTTCTCTGTAGCCCTGGTTGTCCCAGAACTCCTCTGTTGACCAGGCTGGCCTCAAACTCAGAGATCTGTCTGCCTCTGCCTCTGGGATTAAAGATGTGTGCCACTACACCCCGCTTTTTTTTTTTAAGACAAGTATTTCCAGGCTGGTCTCCCAACTCACCATGTGGGGTTATACAGCAAAGGATGACTCCTGATCCTCCACCTAGCTCCACTTCTGGAGCACTGCAAGAGCTTGTCCTGTTTTAGGCAACACTGGGGCATGCAGGGTACCAACTGGACTACATCCCCAGTTCTCCAAAAATAATTTATTTTTAAAAATTTTACATTTTTCTATTTTGTTGTATATGGGAGTTGGGGAGATCGAGTATGCCACAGCCTCCGTGTGAAGGAGGGCAACTTTCGGGAGCTGGTTCTCTCCCGTGGTTCCAGGGATCCAACTCAGGTCACCAGGCTTGGTGGTAAGCACCTGTGCCCACTGAACCATCTCTGCTTCACTATTTTTTCCTAAAGAAGGGGAAGGCTTTGATAACTGCGGTCTGGTCACTACAGAGGGCTGTCCTCTGGGGCCACCCACACAGGCAGTGGCTTCGCTTCCCACCCTGCCAATGAGTGCTGTAGAGTAAGCGGCAAGAACCTGTCACTGAGTGCACCAACCCCCACGCACAGGATCGTCTCTAATTAACCTCCCCCACCCCCGTGAAAGCTAACAAAACAATGGCGGGCCGGCGGGCGGGCAGCACAGTTGGTTTTCCCCATGTTTTCCCCTGTTCCCGGGCCAGCCCTTCTCATCTGCTTCTCGCTTCTCGGCAGCTTTACTACTCCCTCACTGGTGCCGGCCAGCCAGGCGAACTGCGCGACCACTTGGGTTTTCTTTCCTCTTTCTGCGCCCAGTAAATTTTCATAAAGCGTTTAATGTGAGAACGAGTAGGTTAATTTCCCGAGTGGCGAACTCAGAGCCCGGCACCACTGCCATGATTTGGCTTCTGAGGCCAGGACCTCGGCCCCAGCAGCCAGAAACCTTGCCAGATCCTTCTCTCAACAGCCCCAGGTGCAATTTAGCAGAACAGATTGTGTGGACGCTGGAT